TAGGGACAATCTATACATCATCATTTTGAGATTCTTCTGGTGTCCTATATCCCTCGATATCATGAAATCTCTAGTGAGTCTTTGCACTAGCGTTACCTGCAATCATTACATCATCCAACTCTAGCTCGACAATGGCAAAAACACCTGCCCAGCCACCATGCAGGTTTTGCAAACCAAAGAATTTGTTCCTAACGTACAGAGGCTTATCTATATCTTGTCTAACTCAGTAAGCAGCCGAGTTGAATTGGCTGATTCTCTGGCCACTAGAACAGTCCCCTCCCCTAATCAGGCCGTCAACTCTATTAAATTCTTGGATGGCCAAGGTGAGGACTGTTTCAATTCCTTAACAAGAATTGCATATTTCACCGAAGAATCTAAAGAGAATCGTGAGTTCCTCGCGATATGAGACGGATTCGTACCTTTACTCGTTGATTTACTCGATAATGTCAATGGCATCATTGAAATGCTCAAAAGAGTTGTTAATGCTTTGGATACGATTCTAGATAAAATTGAAGATCGTGAGCAGTTGAAGAATTTTTTTTTTTTGGGTAAACTGAGCAGTTGAAGAAATTAAACCACGACAATTGCTTAGCTTCTCTGCTCCTTCTTCTGCAACGAGGCAGCGCTGGTGCAAAAATGGGATCGGCAACGATTCTGAAGTTCATCGCGATGGATGCCGAATCCAAAGTCATGGTCACCGAAAAGGAAGGTCTAACGTCTGAATTGCTTAGATCTAGAAGGAAGGCAAGATGAAGAATGCAAGAAGAGGAGGATCTACAGGTAGTGGGCATTCCTTAGAATTGTGAGCTGGCACTAGTTTTTTTTTTTTTTTTCATGTCCAATCATCATAAAAAAGTATGCCAACTCATTAAACCATTTGCCACATAATCAATTTTCACGTTGTCAAGTTATATCAATTAATGGAAGGACTTTGACCGAGTTTGATTGAAACTATAAGGACCCATCTCCTGAAAAATAAATTACAGGGACCTTGACTAAATTTGACTGAAACTATAAGGATTTAGAACATAGTTTTTCCTTTTTAGTTCCTGTGACTTATATTTACTATACTTGCTATATTTAGAATGAAATGAATGAGTATTAAATATTTTTCATATATATATCCACGTTTAATAAGGATAGTTAAAAAATATAAAAATTAATGTGATGTTGGAATTTAGTGCAATTGATAAAAATAATATTGAAAATTATTTGAATTTTATGAAAAATTTAATGCCTGGATTAATATAAATTTTGATCCCTTATATTTGTTTTAGTTTTGGTTTTAGTCTCTCAAATTTTAAACCTTAGGTTTTGATCTCTTAAGTTTCTTTTCATTTAAAACATTAATCTTTATAATTCAATAAAAACTTGAATATTTTGTCCCTATGATTTGAAATTTGAAAAACCAAAATCAAAATGACAATAAACTTGATGGACCAAAGATTATATTAACCCTTAATGTTTGTAACTGTTTTATTATTGGTAGTTAGTGTGTTCTTATAATAAGTATTAGAGGGAGCATTTTTTTATTTCATGGCATTTTTTTGAAACTAAATTTTTTCTCCGCGTTTATTGCACCGCGTATAAGAAAAAAGCTACGTGTATTTAAGAGAAAAATAGGGCTTCCTTTAGTTTTTCTTTGGGTCTGATGACTTCCTATGGTTGACAGCTTCATATGGCGCGTGTGTACCAATTTAAAGCGGTATCTCCCTGGTTCTATTTATAAAACAGAAAAAAAAAAAAAACGTATTTTTAGTTTGATTTATAAGGTACTGAAAAATTTTTTTTATATGAATATACAATTATACTCTTTATTTATTATTGTGTTGACTTTGTTTACATGAGGTATAATGTGTATTAAATGGGGATAAGTTTGAAAAATTATTGAATTTTAAATGAGAATTAATGAAGTTTAAAGTTTTTTTAGTGAGTGTGAAACATATTGAAAATGAGTTATAAATAGGACCAAAAGAGTAAGTATATAATAGACTTTCATTTGGTTATGTACTAGAAAAAGAAGATAAGCAGGTTAAAATCAAATAAAGTTACTACCTCGGCTGATTATAATATTTAGTTCGTAGTTAAAATTAAATTATAAACTAAATATTATATTAAGGATTGGAAATAGTTTTTATTTGGTTCTTAATATAACACCTAATTAATTATTTTGAGTAACTTAAGAATGCTAGTTGAATAGTTAAATGATTTTTTGCTAAAATATCTTAAATATCTTTTTAATTCTCTTCCTTCATTTTCTACTTAATTATTGTTAAGAAAACATTAACATGATTAATTTAAAAAAATTATTAGTTATATAAAATATGTCTTCTATATAAGATTAACATTAACTTTTTAATTAGATCTCATATTAAGTATGGATTATCTGACAATAATTATTTTCTTGAACGAATACATGTTGATCGATGTTTTGTGTCCATTTGACACGGTGGTCCCATTCATTCTAGAGGAACTTTTAAATATGATTTTATTTTGAATCGTATAAAGGGAATTTGATCCATAAACACTACTATTTCATATGATCCATCTTGTCATAACTGTTAAAAGTGATTTTAATTAATTAGTAATTGTTTTTACTAAAGTAGAGATAGTGATTATGATTAGTTTTGAGTTTTGCGGTACAAATTCAAAGCAAAAGGTTGATCAAATGGCGGCTGATGAGGTTAGGGATTGAAGAGGTCAAAAGGTCTTAAAAGAAGAAATGGCATGGCAATTAGCTGATTAGTCTTGTGAAAACAGTAAAGTAATGTTTATCCTAGCTTTATTATTACCATTAAAGCCAGAATCCGGTCTCTCTTTATCATAAAAGTTTATAGAAAAGTATCTTAAGTCTTCTTTTTATGGTAGGCGAAAAAAAAGTCTTCTTTTTATGATCTCACTTTTGGATGACAGATAAGAAAATGTGAGAACTTTCAAAATATTCTTTTTCTTAATTTTTTTTTCTCGTATTAATATTATGACTTATCATAAATTATTAATAAAGTTATTTGTATTGATTTTATATTATATTAATGATGTGAACGTGTCTCAATTTAAAAGGAAAAATGCACTATTTTGCCAATCAAATTAATAAGATATCTTTTTGGCCTCATAATAAGATATTTTATCTGATTACGGGTGGTGTGGGTTCTTTATACGCAAGTCGCCGCAAATATATATATATATATATATGTATATATTCATGAGTTATGATACAAATACTAATTAAATCTAAGAAAATTTATTACCAATCATTGTTAAATTTTAGGAAAAAATTAGGGAAAATGATAAAAAAGTTGAAAATTTGTAAATACCAGATAAAAAATATCAACAAAAATTTATTGTCATTTGCAAATTTATTGTTATCAACACCAGATGAAGTATTGTTATCAAACTTGATTTGTGATTGAATAATTTTTAACTTTCTTTTTTGTTATTCTCTCAAAAAATAATGTAATTTTTTTAAAAGGTTCGTATGGCTTCAACTGATATGCTTAAAATTTTCGTGTAAGGCATCAATGGACTCTTGACATATATGAAAGAGTACGATTGGTTCAATAAATTCCTACGTCTCTATCTATTTCTGAGATGTTTGGATTTTTTAAAGTTCCATAAACATGTAGAAGAGAAATGTTATTCCTACTCAGACCAGAACATAACTTTACTTGTTCAAATATCAATTAAGGCTGTATTTTTTGATAACATATTTAAGAACTGTATTTAAGCTCGTATATTGGACAAAAAACTGATAAATAAATCAGTTCATAAATAAAAAAGAGTGCAATACCTTATCAATTTTGTAATTTGTGGTATAATATTTCGTCTTTAATATAAAATTAGTTAGATATTTAATTTGGTTCTAAATATAAGACCTCGATCCATTTTATCTTCTAAATTTGTAATTTACTTTCTAAAATATCTCTATTGATTATACATGCTAAGAGGTTTTCATCAAGGGCAGTCATAAGCAGTCATAATTAAAAAAAAACTTTAAAAAAAATCAACTCATAGCTATGATAAATAACTAATTTTAATTAGTTAAATAACTGTTATATTAAATATATGAGGTAGTATTATATATTGATATATCAGTCTGGCGTCCGGCCCTTTAGAACCGATTTAAAATAACTTATAAATAATTTCTTAATCATAATTCAGAAAATATAAAGTAAATACATTAAAAAAATATATATAACTGCGATGAAATGTGCTTAATGTCAAACCGGGCCTTAGCAGTTAGCATGGGGGAGCTAGGCCGACACTTTGACGAAAGCAACAAGGAGAGGACAAAGTGGACACGTCACTCCATTTATTTCTACGTGGATGGTCCCAGTCGTTTTGGACTTTCTTATCGTATAATTACCAGCATCACTACAAGGGAATCCACTAAAACGACACTGCCCCTCTCGCTCCGCCACTTGTTCTTATCCCATGGCCTGGCTCCACATGAAAGCAGGCGCAAAATATATCATGTCTCTTTAACTCCCTCCACTGTTATCCATTGACCTATCATGTATATTATCATTCATCTCAGACGACGATGGTCCTTCCTTATTGTGATGACTTGGAAGCCATCAATTAGTTCGATGCGCATGTCGTTTCTGCTCTCAACCCATTTTTTTTCCCCATATGAAGCACCTGATGTCCTAAGCCTAATTAGGCGAATTCATCGAAGGTTTAGAGGGTGTTTGGATGAGTGTAAAAGTGTTTTTCAAAAACACTTTTCCGCAAATCAAGACAAATTCTTTTATATATTTACTTCGTATACCGTAAAAGTACTTTTAAAATTATGGTTTTATTTCTACCTAAACACCTCCTTAGACTAATTCGAATCAAGCTGAGTAGGCCTATAACAACGACAAAACTATACCACCAAGTATTTAACGTTACTGCATTATCATAATTTAAATTCAAGACTTCTAATTGAATCAAGTGCTTGGTGCTTAATTAAACCTGAAAGATTCGAATCCTTTCATTCATATTAGCCACATTATAGGAAGTTTAGAATAAACCACATGTATCATGATTTATGAATAAGACGGTGTTGAACTACAACGCCAGACCAATCATATTGGTGTGTATATATAATTCAATTTAGAAAGAAAAATTGTGTCAGTTTAATGACAATGAGACTATGCGTCTGCGTAAAACTGGTCAACAACAGTTCGGACTACCAAAGGTATCCTCACTTCATGTGAGCCATCTTCCCAGAACAGATACCCAAACGAGAAACCGCCTTCAACATTAATGTTGGGCAAAAACGTAACCTTGAATTTCAGTTTCTTCCTCGTAGCATCAAACTTTAAGACTTGGGGTACAACCGTCACAGAGACTCCAATGGGAGCAACAACACGAGCAACGTAGGTAGATTCCACTGGTCCTACGTTCGTGACTGTTCTCGACACAGTCAAAGGGTGGTTATTCATCAGCTCAGGAATGGTGATAGAAGGGAGGTTGAGATCGAGCAAGAACTTGGGGGATTTACGGCATTTAGTGGGGGATTTGGTCATTAAGGCTATGGCAGTGTAGTTATAGCCCAGAGAACAAAGAAAACGAACATAATCTGAGGTTCCTAAGTCGTATATGAGACCAGGATTCGTGGCTTTGTTGGGATCAACGTGTCCACCTCCATAGTCGAATGGATCAGCCTGCTTGTGCGGAGCTCCCTCTGCTCCAACATATAGGTTGTACTCATTTGTCAATGAAGCTGCACATGAATGAGTGAAATAATTAATTCCTTGCTTGAACTACTTTTTAAAGATTAGATTTTAAGCTGATATGAAGAGCACAAGTTCTTAGGAGAAACGCATCCTAAAAGCTAGGAGTTGGACAACCCAAGGTCTTATAAGGCTTTTCTTTTAAGATAATCCTCTCAACGTCAGACTCACGACAATGCATTTTCCACGAGAGTTGACATTCCGGTGGCTCCATACTATATCACTTCACTTGGTGCTTCACTCAGCCTCCTGCTACTAGTGAGAACCTTTTGATGGTAGCCTCTCATATTGATGGGCTTTCAATGAAAGCACTAATATAACGAGCAAAAACAAGATAACCCTCCCAATGTAGGACTCTTGACAGGAGATTAGATGATGAATTAATGGGTACAATTACAGTACCTGTAGTGATGATGGCAGATTTGATAGCAGCAGGAGACCAGGCAGGATAAATAGATTTGACAAGTGCGACAATGGCAGAAACGTGAGGGCAAGCCATTGAAGTTCCTGATTCAATCTTGAAGTGAAGAGGAACGAATCCATTCACAGCCGCATAATCAGTTTGCAAGTAATCAGAAGAAGCCGGCGACCATGCTGCTAGAATATCAACTCCCGGAGCTGCAATGTCAGGCTGCACATACCCACCATCCATACATTCATTAAGCTTTTATATATCTCTACTCCGGCCAATACCTTGCTAGCTAGATTCTGATTTCTAAGAACTTAGAAGAAGATAGGGCTTTTTTTTTAAAAAAAATTTTAATTCTTTTTTTTTAATAGATAGAGAGCAAGAATATGATGAGAACCTTTAACACTGAAGGAGACAGAGAACTCGGTCCTCTAGATGAGAAGAATGCCACTTCTGGAGATATCTGTTGTCCCACTGTTGTTTTGGTCCTGCTGAACTTCACAACAGGGTTCCTACCACGTTCCCCACAACCATTCTTTTAGCTTTATTAATCATTATAAATGAAATGTACATAATTACTAATTTAATTATAACAAAATAATAAGCTGTCACGTTTAGTGATTCGGCCCATTCAAAGGACTAACCTGGTAGCTTCCATGTATGAGAGTACTGAAGTTCCAGTGATGAAGTCAACTTGGACAGAGGGAATACTCCAAGACAAAGCAACATCTTTAGTAGGAAACTGAGCAAAGATGAGACCCGAACCTTGGACTTCCGTTACGGTTCTTATAGCACCCACGGCTGATCTCTGTGATCCAGATTGGAAACACACAATTACTTTTCCTTTAGCCAATGTTGCATTCAGGCTTCCCGCTTCACAGCTTCTGCGCAAAATATACGATTATATATCATACTCTACTCATTCCTATCTCTTTTTGACTGTATGTTATGGCGTTAATTTCTTAAGTAATGCCCAGAATCTGAATTCATACGTACATATATGCTTAGTTATAAATCTCATTTCTCTAATAAGGCATTTTTGTTCTACCTTGCGCTTTCTCCATCCGAATCTTCAGATTCTATGTCTTCTCCATACACAATGGGGTAAAACTTGTTCACGTCCTTCCCTGTATATAAACTCTGACCCTATATAAGGAAACAAAATATTGTTCTGGGTCTGCACACTGCAAAAGGTATAATACTATGAAGCATGCACACTTGTGAATTGTGAACACCGTTGTCAAAAACCAGATTATATCCATAAAGAAGATACACGTTTAAATGAAAACTGAGTATGTTATCCATCTGTGTTTAAAATGCGTCAGACATTTGTGCAAGACCTGATAGGACATTTCAAAGATGAAGTACCTGTAGGGTTTGATTGTTTCCCAAGGTAATTATAGAAGGAAATGCTCTATCAAGAGTGCTAGCAGCTACAGTAAGAATCCAAGGAGCAGTGTTTATGACAGTTTGAGGGTAAGGTCCAGAATTGCCACCAGAACACACCACAGAAATTCCTCTAGCAACAGCATGAAAAGATCCAATGGCCAAAACATCCTCAACATAAGTGGGAAGTGGAGGGTATGATCCCAGAGACACAGAAAGAACATTAACCCCATCAAATATTGCATCATCAAATGCTGCAAGAAGATCAGCTGAGCTGCAAGCTCCATTAGACCAGCAGATTTTGTAGATAGCTAAGTGAGCTGAAGGAGCACCTCCTCTTGCTGACCCTTTTGCTAGTCCCATGAAGCTTGCATTCTCTACTGATGCTCCTGCTGCTGTTGATGAAGTGTGAGTGCCATGGCCCGATGCGTCTCGTGGCGATAGGAATTCGGATCCATCGCTTGTGTTTAATTTCCCAAATTCAGCTTCATAGCCTCTGTAGTACCAGCGAGCTCCAATGATTTTCCTGGTAACGTATCACATGACACTGTTTAAAGCTGAAAAAATGACACTGATATGTCTGACAGTGCCATAAGAGGCAATATTAAGTACGTGTGTGTAACGTGCAGGCTTTAAGCTGTGTCTCATCCAAGTGTTGGATATATGTAACGTTTATATTGAATTTAGAGCCCCTTGGACGATTAAATTTAAACAGTATATATCCAATTACGTTATTTGAATAATGTTACCATTAAAAAATCCTGATATGCGTACAAAAAGTGAGCATGAAAGCGATTAAGAAGGATGTTTCAAACCGACCTATTACAGTGGGAGTGGCTGAAATTCTCTCCTGCTTGGCATATGCCGCGCCAACTAGAAGGTGGATTATCCATATTCTCATCCATAAAGCTCTCTGACTCAGGCCATATGCCTGCAAACCCGACAATGGAAAGATCATAATCATACTTAATCATATGCACCTTTGACAATTTCATATACACCAATTGTTTGATCGATCCCACTTACTTAGTTATTAATCTAATGGCTAGATTTAGTTGGGTCTTAACAGGATTGAGCTAAGATATGGTTAAATGGTTATGAACTATCAAGTACCGGAAAATCACATTAAATGTGATACGACACTAAAAATTATATGGAGAGACATCAGATTATGTTTTGTCTACATGTTCTGAAGTTGGGATCTTTGATACTGACCAGTGTCCAAGATGCCAATGATAGTGCCCTTTCCAGATTTACACTTTGAAAGAATTCCATTCACAATATCTGGCTTTACACTCAAGAAATCCCAGCTTCTAGTTGTGTGCAAACTGAGAATTCTGTTTGGAATTACATGAACAACTCCTGGAAAATCTGCATTAACTAAACTATTAAATTCTGTACCTAAAATATCGTTCAAGGAGGAAATTCAAATTTCAAAGTACACCATATCATTATTATGAAAAAATTGAAGAGTGCTACTTCAAGTAAGAAAGAATCATCGGCATTAATTTAAGACTTTTAAATTTCCAACGTGGACCACAGTCTTAAGAAGAGACTTCACCAGACCTCAGAAAGTGTTTTCCTAGTGTATGCAAAGCAAGCATATTTAGCCAATGTGTTCTTCAATACTCCCTCCAGTCTCTTTTATAAAATCCTATTAATTAAATTATGCCGTTTAAGAAAACAATTAAAATTAGTTAAAAAGAATAAATATATACAAATTAAACCCTTTTTTTTTTCAAGTATGCCTTTATTTAATGAGGGAGCAGATAAGAAAGAGAAATACCAGTTGTGAGATAAAGGGGAAAGATAATAGAAAATTAATTAGTAGCAAAATTGGTGAAAATGCATTTAATGTTCAGACAATCTTCAGTGGGATCTTACAAAAATGACAAAATCAATTCAAATTTTGAGATTTTATAAATAAGACTGGAGAGAGTATGATATAAGTAATACAATGCATATATAGAAAGTCTTATTAATTGTTCAAAGTTACATTTCATAAACATCACTATCATGCGCATTGCTCTGGCACTTGTCACAAGCATTTATGGGCCAATTAATGAATCCAACAAGAAAGCCAGACTGCCATACAAGTCTAGTCTCAACCATTTCAGTTCCGTACTTGATTATCAGGAAAAAAAAAAAAAAAGAGTGAAAAGGTTTTCATACTATTGATCTTCAAATTCTGATATATGAACCCAAACATTGCCATACCTGCAACGAGTTTAGCTTGAGACTGGCTTAAAACAGCAGCAAATCCTGAAAATCCATGTTTGTAGCTGTACAGAATGGAGTTCCTAGCAGCTCTTTTGCTGTTAACAATGATAAAAATAACAGATTATAAAACTCTATTTCACTGTTATTATTATGACTTGCTTGTTTATTTGTAAGTGACTAATTGTGTTAAGGGGCCAAGTTTATACTAGTATCTACTCCATATTCAACAAAGAGCAGGTGGCTAAACTCTTCAAATGTGTTTCCTTACTTCTGTCAAAGTAATTAAGCATGGAGATTAACGAAAACAGAATAAGAGAAAAGGTTTACTTGTAGCTTGATACTGGTTATTCTCAATCTCTCTCTCTCTTGGGGAAAAAAAAAAAAGTCATTGTACAAAAGAACAAGGGATTGAAAACCTTCCGAGAATGTTTGACAGTATGTGAAGGTGAGAATCTTCAAGAAGGTCTTGTTCATTGAGGTTCATGCTTCTGTCTCCCATATACACAATATAAACCTGCAGGACAAAATTGAAGAGAGAAGATATGGGAAGAAACAAAAAAACTGAACTTGCAGCGTGGGGAGAAAGAGAAATCCCAGAAGGCCATAGCACAGAACAAAGAGGCATAAGATAAACTCACATTGCTTGATTCAGAAGCTACAAGAAAGCAAGATACTAGCAGAGCAAGAAGCACCAAACCCATGCTTAAATCCCGAGCGCGAGCCATGAGTTCGAGAAAACCAGAATGAGTGGCGCTTATGGGATAGGATAGCTAAGCTAGCCTAGCTTTGTTTTGTACACAGTAGAGAGGGATTCTTAAGAAGCAGGCTCATAATGTTGGATTATATATATACAAGTGAGTGAAAACTTTTTGTGAAGACTATTTTATTGTAAACTCTTTGTGCATTTGTGAAATTTGATTTATGAAAAAAGATATCGGCAAAGGAAGTTCCGCCACGTACAAACTCCACTAGGATCATTAATGGCGATAGGCTTTTGCTTTTGCTTTAGGTTCCAATGATTTGATTTAGGAATCTTGGGATTTTTGTGGGTTCCATTTGGGGGGTAGCGTATGAGACAGACCCCCCAGATGTGAAATCAGTACGTAAGAAATTGGCTTTATATCACTGGCGCATCTTCAACGACTCTTTTTCTATTGCGTTGACTTTCCTGTTTATGACGAGACTAGCGCTTGGTGATGTAAACTCCATTGTTTTTTCTCGGTAAAATCCCTTCTGTACATTTAATTCTTTAATTTTGCACAATATTTCAGTTTAATCTCTTAAATTTAAAAATTATATCTTTAGTGCTTTAATTCTATGATCGTTAAACTTAAATAATTTTTTTAACAATTATAGTTATTTTAAAAATTAAACTTAATATATTAGCATCTAATAATGCTTTATCAATATTTAAGATTTTAATATTGTTTTTTGTTAATAATTTTAGAGTTAAAAGATTAAAATTATATTTTTTAAGATTAAAAAATAGATAAGGACGCAGAAAAAAAACATTTGTGCTTACTCATAATTATTTTTAAGTTTAAAATTTTCCTACGGTTAGCTAACATCCTGTTTGGTGGGTGGCCATTCCCTTTTAGAGATATGCTTAAATGCTTAATATTCAGAATTGACTGCGAACCTATATAATTGGATAAGATTGCTTGAAATTTAATTTTTTTATAACATACAATTTAATTATTTAAGTTGAATTTTTTTTACATATTTATCTCTTGTGAAATTACAATTATACTACCTTTGGTCCTAATTATAAGATCTTATACAAATAAGATCTTATAATTAGTATCAGAAATAATATTAAAAAATTGAAAAATGAGTCAGATTACATCAAATTTAACAAATCAGAGGTAAAATTAAACCAGTGGTGTGGGGTCTACTTTTATCTTAATCTTTAATAATAATAATAATAATAATGGGAGGGGGCTGCAAGTGGTACTGATATTGGTTATTAGGGATTTTAAATATCATTTTAATATTTTTATTGAATTTTAATTTTAAAGATTTATATATTACCCTTTCAAAGACCAACTTGTATTTCAAATTATAGTGGAGTAATCTTTGACGAAGTTAATCATCCCAACGGGGAGGCTTTGAGGTACACTTATGCTGTCCCCACGAAGGAACCGAATGCCAAATCAATTTTGAAAATCCTCTGACTCTGTGTGTGTGTTTCCTTACTTTCTTACACGATTTGTGTTGGAGCGAGGTGCTCTGAGATCGATTTCTGGTGGTAGTTTCAATCTCTTCATCAGGGCAAATGGATGCCATCAGAAAGCAAGCCCACAAGCTCCGAGAACAGGTCTCTCGGCAGCAACAGGTTCTCTCTCTCTCTCTAACTCTCACTCTCCCGCTCAATTGTGTGATTCCTCCTCAGATCTTAGATATTTTCGGTCGCTTTTATCCTCTTATGAAATTTCTTTACCTGTGTAATTTTATTTTGCTCTTCTTCTTTTTTTTCGTTTGCTATGCTTTGATATGCGCTTGATGAAATTTTATTCTACTCTGTTTTCTGAGGTTTTAACGTTGGCGATGCAACTTCGTTTGGATGATTATTGTTTTTGGTTCGCATGAAATTGATTCTGGTTAGTTATAAGACGCACGAAGTTGTGCGCTTATATTGCTGAAGTAAATTGAGAATGGCCGCAGCATTTGTTAATGTTTATTCTCACAGAAGAAGTTGAATTTTGAGCTGGTACTGTTGCTTGCATATACATTAACTTGGTCAAGAAACTCAGAATCATCGCAGATGTTGGAATTCGATCAGATGGATTGTAAAATGGTTTATGGACAAAACTTATGGTGAGGTTTCCGATAAAAATACGGCACATGGAGAGAAAATCCATTGAGTAGTGCTAAGCTTAAAAAGAATATCGGCATTTCATCAAACGTTTAAAAAACTTCACGTAAGTTTCGGTCATTCGTTATTGCTTGTCTTATGCCAGGGACTGTTCTGGATGTACAGTATCATTGTAAGATCGATTAAGAGGGAAGGTAGCTTGCATATTAAGTTACAGGGGCCTTTTAGGAGGTGCGTGGAATAATTTCAATGGCAGAAGGAATTATCTGGAAAATGGACAAATGGCTATGGAAGATTTTTTGTGAGAGAGAAGTAGAAAAGGCCTTTTAAGGTTCTGAGCAAGCAGTGAACTAGAATTGAAAATATCTCACGATTGAAAAATTTGCTTTGGAGGATAAATAATCTTCCCCTACTTGCACCTCTTCTATTTTCTCTGGTATAATACTTCTTTTATGCCAACAATTTTCTGTCACCACCAAAAGAGCAGGAACTTTTAAAATCAACACTGACAACCTTCCTACGTTATGTCATGGTTGACCAAAATGTAGATGAGAAACATCCATTGGAGTAACATCACACAAATTCTCATCTTTATAATTCGTTTGAATAAAAAACTCAACTAAGCATCTTTTATTTGCTTTTACTTTGTTTCTTTCATGAATCTAATAGTTTTTCCCCTAGTAGACTCTGCTTTTAATTTTAAGCTTTTTTTACATAATTTTTGCTGCAACTGATTCTCCACTCGTCAATTGTTATATTAACAAACTTTTGCATGAGAAGTCAACTGGATGTGGAAAACGTTTTATCTCAGTATTATCATCATCTTTCTTAGTTTTCAAACTCAAACTTGTGGAATGACAAGCAATCCCCTTCATCTTCAGTGATCAATTTCTTATCATAGTTTGGAGGGACACACAGATTAGAAACATTAAATACTTTCTTAATATCACCTGGATAGACATCATATTAGAAAAATGTTCGTATCCATGAGTACTGCTAAGGAGATGTACTGGAACTTGACTTTCAAATTTTGTCATGGAAGCATTGAGATAACCATCATGAGTAAAGTCATCTTTAGAATCAATAAGTGATTCAAACATCACTAGGTTTGATGGAGTTGACTCTTCATTTTTTGTATATTCAAGGGAACCACGACTTGGTACCAAACCTAATGTTATGTTTGGCTGGACTTTATATGCTCTTTGATTGGCCATGTAAGGAAATACTACCTCTGGTCCTAAATATAAGACCTAGTTTGTAGTGCAAATTGCACTACAAACTAGGTTAGGTAGCATGTGTTAAATTTGAAGTACAAGGAAACGTTTACTCTTGTTTTAGAATTAGACACCTAGACCTTTAACTTAACAGATGGCATTGATATATTTTTATGACAATTTTCTTCTTCATATGTGCTGCCTTTTTCTCATTATGTTGATTGGCATAACCATGTGTCGGAAAATTATTGACCCTTGCATACGTGTATAGTTGTTATGATGACCATGTTCCTTTCTTAACTTTTCTATTTTCCTTCTTAATATGTTCAACATTTTTGTGTGCTTTATTTATGAAGGTGTTAATCACTATTATTATTTTATAGGCTGTTCTGAAACAGTTTGGGGCTGGGGCATATGGAGGTTCAGATAGTGTGGTCACCGATGGGATGGAGCTTCAGCAACATCAGAAACTTGAAAAGCTTTACATATCAACACGTGCAGGAAAGGTTACATGGTCCTCATACTCTGATTTTATATATTCTTCATTTTCCATCTCAGTTTCCTTTTTACTTCCTTGACTAATGATAGTTTCTTTTTATTCTTCAGCATTATCAAAGGGATATTGTCCGTGGTGTAGAAGGTTATATTGTTACTGGATCTAAACA